AAGAAAAACGCTCACTGCGAGTGCTTCTAGCCTCAAAACGCGCTAGGATCCGCACATGTGGAGGAAGTGCAGCGGGCGCTCTTCATTCTCAAGGGCCGATGACCAATGATGCTAGCAACCCTCCCACGCCCTTGCGGGCTTGGCAAGAGGCCTAGACAAGCGCAGCCACGTGACCTGGTAGAAGAAAAACGCTCACTTCGAGCGCTTCTAGCCTCAAAACGCGCTTGGATCCGCACATGTGGAGGAAGTGCAGCGGGCGCTCTTCATTCTCAAGGGCCGATGATGAATGATGCTAGCAACCTTTACACCCCCTTGCTGGCTTGGCAAGGGGCCTAGACAAGCGCAGCCACGTGACCTGGTAGAAGAAAAACGCTCACTGCAAGCGCTTCTAGCCTCAAAACGCGCTAGGATCTGCACATGTGCAGGAAGTGCAGTGGGCGCTCTTCATTCTCAAGGGCCGATGACCAATGATGCTCACAACCCTTCCACGCCCTTTCTGGCTTGGCAAGAGGCCTAGACAAGCGTAGCCACGTGACCTGGTAGAAGAAAAACGCTCACTGCGAGCGCTTCTAGCTTCTTAACGCGCTAGGATCCACACATGTGGAGGAAGTGCAGCGGGCGCTCTTCATTCTCAAGGGCCGATGTCCAATGATGTAAGCAACCCTTCCACGCCCTTGCTGGCTTGGCAAGAGGCCTAGACAAGCGCAGCCACGTGACCTGGTAGAAGAAAAACGCTCACTGCGAACGCTTCTAGCCTCAAAACGCGCTAGGATCCACACATGTGGAGGAATAGCAGCGGGCGCTCTTCATTCTTAAGGGCCGATGACCAATGATGCTAGCAACCCTTCCACGCCCTTTCTGGCTTGGCAAGAGGCCTAGACAAGCGCAACCACGTGACCTGGTAGAAGAAAAACGCTCACTGCGAGTGCTTCTAGCCTCAAAACGCGCTAGAATCCGCACATGTGCAGGAAGTGCAACGGGCGCTCTTCATTCTCAAGGGCAGATGACCAATGATGCTAGCAACCCTTCCACGCCCTTGTTGGCTTGGCAAGAGGCCTAGACAAACGCAGCCACGTGACCTTGTAGAAGAAAAACGCTCACTGCGAGCGCTTTTAGCCTCAAAACGCGCTAGGATCCACACATGTGGAGGAAGTGCAGCGGGCGCTCTTCATTCTCAAGGGCCGATGACCAATGATGCTCGCAACCCTTCCACGCCCTTGCTGGCTTGACAAGAGGCCTAGACAAGCGTAGCCACGTGACTTGGTAGAAGAAAAACGCTCACTGCGAGCGCTTCTAGCCTCAAAACGCGCTAAGATCCGCACATGTGGAGGAAGTGCAACGGGCGCTCTTCATTCTCAAGGGCCGATGACCAATGATTCTCGCAACCCTTCCACGCCCTTGCTGACTTGGCAAGAGGCCTAGACAAGCGCAACCACGCGACTTGGTGGAAGAAAAACGCTCACTGCGAGTGCTTCTAGCCTCAAAACGCGCTAGGATCTGCACATGTTGAGGAAGTGCAGCGGGCGCTCTTCATTCTCAAGGGCCGATGACCAATGATGCTCGCAACCCTTCCACGCCCTTGCTGGCTTGGCAAGAGGCCTAGACAAGCGCAGCCACGTGACCTGGTGGAAGAAAAACGCTCACTACGAGCGCTTCTAGCCTCAAAACGCGCTAGGATCCACACATGTGCAGGAAGTGCAGCGGGCGCTCTTCATTCTCAAGGGCCGATGACCAATGATGCTAGCAACCCTTCCACGCCCTTGCTGGCTTGGCAAGAGGCCTAGACAAGCGCAGCCACGTGACCTGGTAGAAGAAAAACGCTCACTGCGAGCGCATCTAGCTTCTAAACGTGCTAGGATCCACACATGTGGAGGAAGTGCAGTGGGTGCTTTTCATTCTCAAGGGCCGATGACCAATGATGCTAGCAACCGTGTAGTTGTAGGCATTTTGTCCAGGCTCGCGGTTGTACAGGATGTCGCTGTACACTTTCTCGAGCGGTGCGTAAGCTGGTGCGCTTGGATTGTGGTGGGATGGAAACGGTTGACGTGCTAAGTCTGCTTCAGGGCAGGTGAAGCATGTTCCTCGAGCTCGCTGAAGTTCTCTGCCGTCGGTTAGTAGAAGTGAGTATTTGTCGAGTACTCCTGCCCTTATTGTGTTGTTTAACACCGTATGGCTCGGATGTCCCATCCTTGCGTGCCAGGTTCCTTCGCTGGCGCGGTGTCCGGGTGAGCGCCGATACATGTCGGAGTTGGAGTAGAAGCCGGCGGTGAAGTTGGCGCTGCGATGAATTTCTCGCGGTGTTGGCTGAAGTTGCTGTCCGGGTGTCGGTGGTGTGTCGTCGACGAAGAGCGGTGCCGTTGAAGGACCGGGGATTGGTGTTGTCGTTCCTGCTATTCTCGTTGTTGTCTCTGCTGCTGCCGTTGTTGTCTTTGCTGCTGCTGTTGTTGTTTCTGCTGCTGCCGATGTTGTTTCTGCTGCTGCCGATAATGTCTCTGCTGCTGCCGAGTGTTGAATTGTCGCTAACGCTCTCGTCCTTTCTGTTTCAGGAATGGTGTGTGAATACCAGAAGCCGCCCGGACTGAGGTCTGGATCAAGATCCGGAGGGTGTGTCCAGTTGGTGAAGTTAACGATGGCGTCGCTGTCGGCGGTTCCAAGATCAGGAACGAAGTCGAGAACGAAGAAGTTGTTCTTCAAGACTGCCTTCCCGATGTAAAGACCTCCTCTCCCGTGGTATAGCTTGAACTCCTGGGTGGTGCTGTCTGCTTCAAGATGAATGCTCTTCGCCATCAGTTGACTGATGCTGAGTAAGTTGTAGCCAAGGCCTTCTGCGATTAAAACCTTGGACATCTGCAGGATGACGTTTGTTTCACGTGACTGAAGTTGAACGATTCCTTGTCGCCATGTGCGCAGGTTCTGGTTGTTGGCGACGGTGATGACTACTTCGCGTTGAAGCTGGTATTCTCGTTGCACGAAGCGTCCCGAAGAACACATGTGCTGCCCGCAGCAACTGTCCAAGAACCAGGTGTCTTTCCCGGATGGCTCGCTTTGGGCGATGGCGGCGTATGTCAGATTCGGTTGGAGTGTTTCGCGGCGAGGTGTGGCTTCGTCGAGTTGTTCTTCCGGTGAGTAGTACGGTGGTGATTCGGTGATGCAGGAGTCGCTCAGTCTTGCCATGCAGCTGACGATGTTTCTTGTTCCTTGTGCAGATTGTCCCGTTGGAACTGTTGAAGGTTGAATCTGGGTCGTTGGATTCGCCTGTGTTGAGGCGACTTGGCTGCTTGAAGGTCGAAGCTGCCGTTGTGGAGGTGTTGTCTGATGTCGATTTGGGCAGTGCGTCCGTGGGTGCCCTGACGTCTTGCAGATGTGACAGAAGGGGGGTACTGGCTTTGGTTGCTGCTGTCGATTGTTGTTGTTGTTGTAGCGTCGCTGAGTGTGGAAGGCGAATTCCGGTGCTGATGTCTTTCTCTTGTGTCTTTCTTCTTGCAGGTCCATATCTTGTTGCTCGGCGTGGATTTCGGCGCAGAGTGCTGCTTCAGAGATTCTTCCGTGGGCTCGGAGGATGGCCTTTGTTGCGCGCCATTGGGGACCGAGGCCGCCAATGATGACTGTCACGAAGGCGTCTTCAGATATTGACCCTCCGCATCGAAGAAGCTTGTCGCGCAACTCGCGACAACAACTGATATATGCCATTCCCTTTTCTCCTGGTTTCATTTCGACTGTTGTCAACTGCGCCATTAACCTGCTTTGGTTTACGCTGTCTGTTGCTTGATACAGGCTCTTCAGGTGGCTGTATGCAAGTTCCGCCGAGTTGCCGAAGGCCCGGTAAGACCGTATGTTCTGCTGCTGTGTTGGTGTGACGTTCCTCAGTAGGATCGTGTACGCCATCATTGACTGATAGGTGTACTACTGTTTCTCGTACTGTGTGCCGTTTGTTGGGTATGGCAGGGATCCGTCGAAGAAGCTGAGTATATGCGCGCCTTCCATCATCAACTCGAACTCGAATGACCAGGTGAAGAAGTCCTTTCCGTCGAAAGGTCTTGACGTTTGCAGCTTCAGGACGTGCGCGAATTGTGGTTGAACTTGTAACGCGTCCAGTGGCTTGTCTTGTGCAGGTGAAGGTTGCGGCATGAAGCTGATCGACCCGCGCTCGTACGGAGCGAAGGTAGGTTGCTGCTGTTGATTTCCGCGCGCGTATGACGACCCGTCAAGGCTCATGGGCGTTGCTTCGTTGCTGTTGCTGTTGTATGACTGTGCAGGTCCCGACTGCTGGTGCTGCTCGTAGAAGGACATGAAGAAGAAGAATTTCTCCATCATGTTCTGGTCGAAGTTGGCAAGGTGGTTTGCGGGAGTCTCAGTAGATGCCCCCCTTGGTCTTGTTGCCGTGCCTTCCTCTGTCTGCAGGCCAGAGGCAGGAGGTGGAGTAGGAGTAGTGCCAGGAGAACCGTTAGAGGAACTCCTTTCCTTCTATGTTGCCATGTCTTGTAATGCTTCTGATGACTTGATAGTGGTAGAGTTTCCCCTGTGAGCTCTCATACCATGTTGGGCTGAGAAAAGCCCTTAGGATCTTTGTAAGGGAGAACTCTGGGTAGGATAATGTTGTAACAGCGGAAGCTTAATGAAAAGGTTGTGAACCACCTTGCGCTGGTATGTGAGGGCAAAGTAGATTGATTATAGCAAGGAAGTACAAGATTATAAAATAGTACAAGGAATATGAAAAGATACGGAACTTCTTTACTGGTCCTGTTGCGGTTCGATACAGTACGACTCGGGCAACAGCTTTGTAACGAGTCAGTTGTGTGTCCTTAACTGTCGCGCTGCACTTGTCAGGTCAAAGGTCGCTGACCTTTGACTTTCGCGTAACCTCCAGCAACCTCTTCAACCTCCGAGGGTTGACTCGCGGGTGCTTCGATAGGGTTTGCCTCGCTTCTGGTGCGGTGTTTCGACACGACAGAGGCGCTTAGGATTTATTGTTTCCAACAGTAACGACGCTCATAGTAAAGATGCTCGTAGTAACGATCGTAGTAACGATGCTCGTAGTGACGATGCTCGTTGTAACGATGCTCGTAGCAAGGATGCCCGAGCTCACGATGCTCGTGGTAACGATGCTCGTGGGAACGATGCCCGAGCTCACGATGCTCGTGGTAACGATGCCCGTGGGAACGATGCTCGTGGGAACGATGCTCGTGGGAACGATGCTCGTGGGAACGATGCTCGTGGGAACGATGCTCGTGGGAACAATGCTCGTGGTCACGATGCTCGTGATCACGAGGCTCGTGGGAACGAGGCTCGTGGGGACGAGGCCCCTGGGAACGAGGCCCCTGGGAACGAGGCCCCTGGGAACGAGGCCCCTGGGAACGAGGCCCCTGGGAACGAGGCCCCTGGGAACGAGGCCCCTGGGAACGAGGCCCCTGGGAACGAGGCCCCTGGGAACGAGGCCCCTGGGAACGAGGCCCCTGGGAACGAGGCCCCTGGGAACGAGGCCCCTGGGAACGAGGCCCCTGGGAACGAGGCCCCTGGGAACGAGGCCCCTGGGAACGAGGCCCCTGGGAACGAGGCCCCTGGGAACGAGGCCCCTGGGAACGAGGCCCCTGGGAACGAGGCCCCTGGGAACGAGGCCCCTGGGAACGAGGCCCCTGGGAACGAGGCCCCTGGGAACGAGGCCCCTGGGAACGAGGCCCCTGGGAACGAGGCCCCTGGGAACGAGGCCCCTGGGAACGAGGCCCCTGGGAACGAGGCCCCTGGGAACGAGGCCCCTGGGAACGAGGCCCCTGGGAACGAGGCCCCTGGGAACGAGGCCCGTGGGAACGAGGCCCGTGGGAACGAGGCCCGTGGGAACGAGGCCCGTGGGAACGAGGCCCGTGGGAACGAGGCCCGTGGGAACGAGGCCCGTGGGAACGAGGCCTGTGGGAACGAGGCCCCTGGGAACGAGGCCCCTGGGAACGAGGCCCCTGGGAACGAGGCCCCTGGGAACGAGGCCCCTGGGAACGAGGCCCCTGGGAACGAGGCCCCTGGGAACGAGGCCCCTGGGAACGAGGCCCCTGGGAACGAGGCCCCTGGGAACGAGGCCCCTGGGAACGAGGCTCGTGGGAACGAGGCTCGTGGGAACGAGGCCCCTGGGAACGAGGCCCCTGGGAACGAGGCCCCTGGGAACGAGGCCTGTGGGAACGAGGCCCCTGGGAACGAGGCCCCTGGGAACGAGGCCCCTGGGAACGAGGCCCCTGGGAACGAGGCCCCTGGGAACGAGGCCCCTGGGAACGAGGCCCCTGGGAACGAGGCCCCTGGGAACGAGGCCCCTGGGAACGAGGCCCCTGGGAACGAGGCCCCTGGGAACGAGGCCCGTGGGAACGAGGCCCGTGGGAACGAGGCCCGTGGGAACAAGGCCCGTGGGAACGAGGCCCCTGGGAACGAGGCCCCTGGGAACGAGGCCCCTGGGAACGAGGCCCCTGGGAACGAGGCCCCTGGGAACGAGGCCCCTGGGAACGAGGCCCCTGGGAACGAGGCCCCTGGGAACGAGGCCCCTGGGAACGAGGCCCCTGGGAACGAGGCCCCTGGGAACGAGGCCCCTGGGAACGAGGCCCCTGGGAACGAGGCCCCTGGGAACGAGGCCCCTGGGAACGAGGCCCCTGGGAACGAGGCCCCTGGGAACGAGGCCCCTGGGAACGAGGCCCCTGGGAACGAGGCCCCTGGGAACGAGGCCCCTGGGAACGAGGCCCCTGGGAACGAGGCTCGTGGGAACGAGGCACGTGGGAACGAGGCTCGTGTGAACGAGGCTCGTGGGAACGAGGCTCGTGGGAACGAGGCCCGTGGGAACGAGGCTCGTGGGAACGAGGCCCCTGGGAACGAGGCCCCTGGGAACGAGGCCCCTGGGAACGAGGCCCCTGGGAACGAGGCCCCTGGGAACGAGGCCCCTGGGAACGAGGCCCCTGGGAACGAGGCCCCTGGGAACGAGGCCCCTGGGAACGAGGCCCTTGGGAAAGAGGCCCCTGGGAACGAGGCCCCTGGGAACGAGGCCCCTGGGAACGAGGCCCCTGGGAACGAGGCCCCTGGGAACGAGGCCCCTGGGAACGAGGCCCCTGGGAACGAGGCCCCTGGGAACGAGGCCCCTGGGAACGAGGCCCCTGGGAACGAGGCCCCTGGGAACGAGGCCCCTGGGAACGAGGCCCCTGGGAACGAGGCCCCTGGGAACGAGGCCCCTGGGAACGAGGCCCCTGGGAACGAGGCCCCTGGGAACGAGGCCCCTGGGAACGAGGCCCCTGGGAACGAGGCCCCTGGGAACGAGGCCCCTGGGAACGAGGCCCCTGGGAACGAGGCCCCTGGGAACGAGGCCCCTGGGAACGAGGCCCCTGGGAACGAGGCCCCTGGGAACGAGGCCCCTGGGAACGAGGCCCCTGGGAACGAGGCCCCTGGGAACGAGGCCCCTGGGAACGAGGCCCCTGGGAACGAGGCCCCTGGGAACGAGGCCCCTGGGAACGAGGCCCCTGGGAACGAGGCCCGTGGGAACGAGGCCCGTGGGAACGAGGCCCGTGGGAACGAGGCCCCTGTGAACGAGGCCCCTGTGAACGAGGCTCGTGGGAACGAGGCTCGTGGGAACGAGGCCCCTGGGAACGAGGCCCCTGGGAACGAGGCCCCTGGGAACGATTCCTGTGGGAATGAGGCCCGTCGGAACGAGGCCCCTGGGAACGAGGCCCCTGGGAACGAGGCCCCTGGGAACGAGGCCCCTGGGAACGAGGCCCCTGGGAACGAGGCCCCTGGGAACGAGGCCCCTGGGAACGAGGCCCCTGGGAACGAGGCCCCTGGGAACGAGGCCCCTGGGAACGAGGCCCCTGGGAACGAGGCCCCTGGGAACGAGGCCCCTGGGAACGAGGCCCCTGGGAACGAGGCCCCTGGGAACGAGGCCCCTGGGAACGAGGCCCCTGGGAACGAGGCCCCTGGGAACGAGGCCCCTGGGAACGAGGCCCCTGGGAACGAGGCCCCTGGGAACGAGGCCCCTGGGGACGAGGCCCCTGGGAACATGGCCCCTGGGAACGAGGCCCCTGGGAACGAGGCCCCTGGGAACGAGGCCCCTGGGAACGAGGCCCCTGGGAACGAGGCCCCTGGGAACGAGGCCCCTGGGAACGAGGCCCCTGGGAACGAGGCCCCTGGGAACGAGGCCCCTGGGAACGAGGCCCCTGGGAACGAGGCCCCTGGGAACGAGGCCCCTGGGAACGAGGCCCCTGGGAACGAGGCCCCTGGGAACGAGGCCCCTGGGAACGAGGCCCCTGGGAACGAGGCCCCTGGGAACGAGGCCCCTGGGAACGAGGCCCCTGGGAACGAGGCCCCTGGGAACGAGGCCCCTGGGAACGAGGCCCCTGGGAACGAGGCCCCTGGGAACGAGGCCCCTGGGAACGAGGCCCCTGGGAACGAGGCCCCTGGGAACGAGGCCCCTGGGAACGAGGCCCGTGGGAACGAGGCCCGTGGGAACGAGGCCCGTGGGAACGAGGCCCGTGGGAACGAGGCCCGTGGGAACGAGGCCCGTGGGAACGAGGCCCGTGGGAACGAGGCCCGTGGGAACGAGGCCCGTGGGAACGAGGCCCGTGGGAACGAGGCCCGTGGGAACGAGGCCCGTAAGAACGAGGCCCCTGGGAACGAGGCCCCTGGGAACGAGGCCCCTGGGAACGAGGCCCCTGGGAACGAGGCCCCTGGGAACGAGGCCCCTGGGAACGAGGCCCCTGGGAACGAGGCCCCTGGGAACGAGGCCCCTGGGAACGAGGCCCCTGGGAACGAGGCCCCTGGGAACGAGGCCCCTGGGAACGAGGCCCCTGGGAACGAGGCCCCTGGGAACGAGGCCCCTGGGAACGAGGCCCCTGGGAACGAGGCCCGTGGGAACGAGGCCCGTGGGAACGAGGCCCCTGTGAACGAGGCCCCTTGGAACGAGGCTTGTGGGAACGAGGCTCGTGGGAACGAGGCCCCTGGGAACGAGGCCCCTGGGAACGAGGCCCCTGGGAACGATTCCTGTGGGAATGAGGCCCGTCGGAACGAGGCCCCTGGGAACGAGGCCCCTGGGAACGAGGCCCCTGGGAACGAGGCCCCTGGGAACGAGGCCCCTGGGAACGAGGCCCCTGGGAACGAGGCCCCTGGGAACGAGGCCCCTGGGAACGAGGCCCCTGGGAACGAGGCCCCTGGGAACGAGGCCCCTGGGAACGAGGCCCCTGGGAACGAGGCCCCTGGGAACGAGGCCCCTGGGAACGAGGCCCCTGGGAACGAGGCCCCTGGGAACGAGGCCCCTGGGAACGAGGCCCCTGGGAACGAGGCCCCTGGGAACGAGGCCCCTGGGAACGAGGCCCCTGGGAACGAGGCCCCTGGGAACGAGGCCCCTGGGAACGAGGCCCCTGGGAACGAGGCCCCTGGGAACGAGGCCCCTGGGAACGAGGCCCCTGGGAACGAGGCCCCTGGGAACGAGGCCCCTGGGAACGAGGCCCCTGGGAACGAGGCCCCTGGGAACGAGGCCCCTGGGAACGAGGCCCCTGGGAACGAGGCCCCTGGGAACGAGGCCCCTGGGAACGAGGCCCCTGGGAACGAGGCCCCTGGGAACGAGGCCCCTGGGAACGAGGCCCCTGGGAACGAGGCCCCTGGGAACGAGGCCCCTGGGAACGAGGCCCCTGGGAACGAGGCCCCTGGGAACGAGGCCCCTGGGAACGAGGCCCCTGGGAACGAGGCCCCTGGGAACGAGGCCCCTGGGAACGAGGCCCCTGGGAACGAGGCCCCTGGGAACGAGGCCCCTGGGAACGAGGCCCCTGGGAACGAGGCCCCTGGGAACGAGGCCCCTGGGAACGAGGCCCCTGGGAACGAGGCCCCTGGGAACGAGGCCCCTGGGAACGAGGCCCCTGGGAACGAGGCCCCTGGGAACGAGGCCCCTGGGAACGAGGCCCCTGGGAACGAGGCCCCTGGGAACGAGGCCCCTGGGAACGAGGCCCCTGGGAACGAGGCCCCTGGGAACGAGGCCCCTGGGAACGAGGCCCCTGGGAACGAGGCCCCTGGGAACGAGGCCCCTGGGAACGAGGCCCCTGGGAACGAGGCCCCTGGGAACGAGGCCCCTGGGAACGAGGCCCCTGGGAACGAGGCCCCTGGGAACGAGGCCCCTGGGAACGAGGCCCCTGGGAACGAGGCCCCTGGGAACGAGGCCCCTGGGAACGAGGCCCCTGGGAACGAGGCCCCTGGGAACGAGGCCCCTGGGAACGAGGCCCCTGGGAACGAGGCCCCTGGGAACGAGGCCCCTGGGAACGAGGCCCCTGGGAACGAGGCCCCTGGGAACGAGGCCCCTGGGAACGAGGCCCCTGGGAACGAGGCCCCTGGGAACGAGGCCCCTGGGAACGAGGCCCCTGGGAACGAGGCCCCTGGGAACGAGGCCCCTGGGAACGAGGCCCCTGGGAACGAGGCCCCTGGGAACGAGGCCCCTGGGAACGAGGCCCCTGGGAACGAGGCCCCTGGGAACGAGGCCCCTGGGAACGAGGCCCCTGGGAACGAGGCCCCTGGGAACGAGGCCCCTGGGAACGAGGCCCCTGGGAACGAGGCCCCTGGGAACGAGGCCCCTGGGAACGAGGCCCCTGGGAACGAGGCCCCTGGGAACGAGGCCCCTGGGAACGAGGCTCGTGGGAACGAGGCCCCTGGGAACGAGGCCCCTGGGAACGAGGCCCCTGGGAACGAGGCCCCTGGGAACGAGGCCCCTGGGAACGAGGCCCCTGGGAACGAGGCCCCTGGGAACGAGGCCCCTGGGAACGAGGCCCCTGGGAACGAGGCCCCTGGGAACGAGGCCCCTGGGAACGAGGCCCCTGGGAACGAGGCCCCTGGGAACGAGGCCCCTGGGAACGAGGCCCCTGGGAACGAGGCCCCTGGGAACGAGGCCCCTGGGAACGAGGCCCCTGGGAACGAGGCCCCTGGGAACGAGGCCCCTGGGAACGAGGCCCCTGGGAACGAGGCCCCTGGGAACGAGGCCCCTGGGAACGAGGCCCCTGGGAACGAGGCCCCTGGGAACGAGGCCCCTGGGAACGAGGCCCCTGGGAACGAGGCCCCTGGGAACGAGGCCCCTGGGAACGAGGCCCCTGGGAACGAGGCCCCTGGGAACGAGGCCCCTGGGAACGAGGCCCCTGGGAACGAGGCCCCTGGGAACGAGGCCCCTGGGAACGAGGCCCCTGGGAACGAGGCCCCTGGGAACGAGGCCCCTGGGAACGAGGCCCCTGGGAACGAGGCCCCTGGGAACGAGGCCCCTGGGAACGAGGCCCCTGGGAACGAGGCCCCTGGGAACGAGGCCCCTGGGAACGAGGCCCCTGGGAACGAGGCCCCTGGGAACGAGGCCCCTGGGAACGAGGCCCCTGGGAACGAGGCCCCTGGGAACGAGGCCCCTGGGAACGAGGCCCCTGGGAACGAGGCCCCTGGGAACGAGGCCCCTGGGAACGAGGCCCCTGGGAACGAGGCCCCTGGGAACGAGGCCCCTGGGAACGAGGCCCCTGGGAACGAGGCCCCTGGGAACGAGGCCCCTGGGAACGAGGCCCCTGGGAACGAGGCTCGTGGGAACGAGGCTCGTGGGAACGAGGCTCGTGTCAACGAGGCTCGTGGGAACGAGGCTCGTGGGAACGAGGCCCGTGGGAACGAGGCTCGTGGGAACGAGGCCCCTGGGAACGAGGCCCCTGGGAACGAGGCCCCTGGGAACGAGGCCCCTGGGAACGAGGCCCCTGGGAACGAGGCCCCTGGGAACGAGGCCCCTGGGAACGAGGCCCCTGGGAACGAGGCCCCTGGGAACGAGGCCCCTGGGAACGAGGCCCCTGGGAACGAGGCCCCTGGGAACGAGGCCCCTGGGAACGAGGCCCCTGGGAACGAGGCCCGTGGGAACGAGGCTCGTGGGAACGAGGCCCCTGGGAACGAGGCCCCTGGGAACGAGGCCCCTGGGAACGAGGCCCCTGGGAACGAGGCCGTGGGAACGAGGCCCCTGGGAACGAGGCCCCTGGGAACGAGGCCCCTGGGAACGAGGCCCCTGGGAACGAGGCCCCTGGGAACGAGGCCCCTGGGAACGAGGCCCCTGGGAACGAGGCCCCTGGGAACGAGGCCCCTGGGAACGAGGCCCCTGGGAACGAGGCCCCTGGGAACGAGGCCCCTGGGAACGAGGCCCCTGGGAACGAGGCCCCTGGGAACGAGGCCCCTGGGAACGAGGCCCCTGGGAACGAGGCCCCTGGGAACGAGGCCCCTGGGAACGAGGCCCCTGGGAACGAGGCCCCTGGGAACGAGGCCCCTGGGAACGAGGCCCCTGGGAACGAGGCCCCTGGGAACGAGGCCCCTGGGAACGAGGCCCCTGGGAACGAGGCCCCTGGGAACGAGGCCCCTGGGAACGAGGCCCCTGGGAACGAGGCCCCTGGGAACGAGGCCCCTGGGAACGAGGCCCCTGGGAACGAGGCTCGTGGGAACGAGGCTCGTGGGAACGAGGCTCGTGTCAACGAGGCTCGTGGGAACGAGGCTCGTGGGAACGAGGCCCGTGGGAACGAGGCTCGTGGGAACGAGGCCCCTGGGAACGAGGCCCCTGGGAACGAGGCCCCTGGGAACGAGGCCCCTGGGAACGAGGCCCCTGGGAACGAGGCCCCTGGGAACGAGGCCCCTGGGAACGAGGCCCCTGGGAACGAGGCCCCTGGGAACGAGGCCCCTGGGAACGAGGCCCCTGGGAACGAGGCCCCTGGGGACGAGGCCCCTGGGAAAAGGCCCCTGGGAACGAGGCCCCTGGGAACGAGGCCCCTGGGAACGAGGCCCCTGGGAACGAGGCCCCTGGGAACGAGGCCCCTGGGAACGAGGCCCCTGGGAACGAGGCCCCTGGGAACGAGGCCCCTGGGAACGAGGCCCCTAGGGACGAGGCCCCTGGGAACGAGGCCCCTGGGAACGAGGCCCCTGGGAACGAGGCCCCTGGGAACGAGGCCCCTGGGAACGAGGCCCCTGGGAACGAGGCCCCTGGGAACGAGGCCCCTGGGAACGAGGCCCCTGGGAACGAGGCCCCTGGGAACGAGGCCCCTGGGAACGAGGCCCCTGGGAACGAGGCCCCTGGGAACGAGGCCCCTGGGAACGAGGCCCCTGGGAACGAGGCCCCTGGGAACGAGGCCCCTGGGAACGAGGCCCCTGGGAACGAGGCCCCTGGGAACGAGGCCCCTGGGAACGAGGCCCGTGGGAACGAGGCCCGTGGGAACGAGGCCCGTAGGAACGAGCCCCGTGGGAAGGAGGCCCGTGGGAACGAGGCGCGTGGGAACGAGGCCCCTGGGAACGAGGCCCCTGGGAACGAGGCCTGTGGGAACGAGGCCTGTGGGAACGAGGCCCCTGGGAACGAGGCCCCTGGGAACGAGGCCCCTGGGAACGAGGCCCCTGGGAACGAGGCCCCTGGGAACGAGGCCCCTGGGAACGAGGCCCCTGGGAACGAGGCCCCTGGGAACGAGGCCCCTGGGAACGAGGCCCCTGGGAACGAGGCCCCTGGGAACGAGGCCCCTGGGAACGAGGCCCCTGGGAACGAGGCCCCTGGGAACGAGGCCCCTGGGAACGAGGCCCCTGGGAACGAGGCCCCTGGGAACGAGGCCCCTGGGAACGAGGCCCCTGGGAACGAGGCCCCTGGGAACGAGGCCCCTGGGAACGAGGCCCCTGGGAACGAGGCCCCTGGGAACGAGGCCCCTGGGAACGAGGCCCCTGGGAACGAGGCCCCTGGGAACGAGGCCCCTGGGAACGAGGCCCCTGGGAACGAGGCCCCTGGGAACGAGGCCCCTGGGAACGAGGCCCGTGGGAACGAGGCCCGTGGTAACGAGGCCCCTAGGAAGGAGGCCCCTGGGAACGAGGCCCCTGGGAACGAGGCCCCTGGGAACGAGGCCCCTGGGAACGAGGCTCCTGGGAACGAGGCTCGTGGGAACGAGGCTCGTGTGAACGAGGCTCGTGGGAACGAGGCTCGTGGGAACGAGGCCCATGGGAACGAGGCTCGTGGGAACGAGGCACGTGGGAACGAGGCCCCTGGGAACGAGGCCCCTGGGAACGAGGCCCCTGGGAACGAGGCCCCTGGGAACGAGGCCCCTGGGAACGAGGCCCCTGGGAACGAGGCCCCTGGGAACGAGGCCCCTGGGAACGAGGCCCCTGGGAACGAGGCCCCTGGGAACGAGGCCCTTGGGAAAGAGGCCCCTGGGAACGAGGCCCCTGGGAACGAGGCCCCTGGGAACGAGGCCCCTGGGAACGAGGCCCCTGGGAACGAGGCCCCTGGGAACGAGGCCCATGGGAATGAGGCCCCTGGGAACGAGGCCCCTGGGAACGAGGCCCCTGGGAACGAGGCCCCTGGGAACGAGGCCCCTGGGAACGAGGCCCCTGGGAACGAGGCCCCTGGGAACGAGGCCCCTGGGAACGAGGCCCCTGGGAACGAGGCCCCTGGGAACGAGGCCCCTGGGAACGAGGCCCCTGGGAACGAGGCCCCTGGGAACGAGGCCCCTGGGAACGAGGCCCCTGGGAACGAGGCCCCTGGGAACGAGGCCCCTGGGAACGAGGCCCCTGGGAACGAGGCCCCTGGGAACGAGGCCCCTGGGAACGAGGCCCCTGGGAACGAGGCCCCTGGGAACGAGGCCCCTGGGAACGAGGCCCCTGGGAACGAGGCCCCTGGGAACGAGGCCCCTGGGAACGAGGCCCCTGGGAACGAGGCCCCTGGGAACGAGGCCCCTGGGAACGAGGCCCCTGGGAACGAGGCCCGTGGGAACGAGGCCCCTGTGAACGAGGCCCCTTGGAACGAGGCTCGTGGGAACGAGGCTCGTGGGAACGAGGCCCGTTGGAACAAGGCCCCTGGGAACGAGGCCCCTGGGAACGATTCCTGTGGGAATGAGGCCCCTGGGAACGAGGCCCCTGGGAACGAGGCCCCTGGGAACGAGGCCCCTGGGAACGAGGCCCCTGGGAACGAGGCCCCTGGGAACGAGGCCCCTGGGAACGAGGCCCCTGGGAACGAGGCCCCTGGGAACGAGGCCCCTGGGAACGAGGCCCCTGGGAACGAGGCCCCTGGGAACGAGGCCCCTGGGAACGAGGCCCCTGGGAACGAGGCCCCTGGGAACGAGGCCCCTGGGAACGAGGCCCCTGGGAACGAGGCCCCTGGGAACGAGGCCCCTGGGAACGAGGCCCCTGGGAACGAGGCCCCTGGGAACGAGGCCCCTGGGAACGAGGCCCCTGGGAACGAGGCCCCTGGGAACGAGGCCCCTGGGAACGAGGCCCCTGTGAACGAGGCTCGTGGGAACGAGGCTTGTGGGAACGAGTCTCGTGGGAACGAGGCCCCTGGGAACGAGGCCCCTGGGAACGAGGCCCCTGGGAACGAGGCCCCTGGGAACGAGGCCCCTGGGAACGAGGCCCCTGGGAACGAGGCCCCTGGGAACGAGGCCCCTGGGAACGAGGCCCCTGGGAACGAGGCCCCTGGGAACGAGGCCCCTGGGAACGAGGCCCCTGGGAACGAGGCCCCTGGGAACGAGGCCCCTGGGAACGAGGCCCCTGGGAACGAGCCCCCCTGGGAACGAGGCCCCTGGGAACGAGGCCCCTGGGAACGAGGCCCCTGGGAACGAGGCCCCTGGGAACGAGGCCCCTGGGAACGAGGCCCCTGGGAACGAGGCCCCTGGGAACGAGGCCCCTGGGAACGAGGCCCCTGGGAACGAGGCCCCTGGGAACGAGGCCCCTGGGAACGAGGCCCCTGGGAACGAGGCCCCTGGGAACGAGGCCCCTGGGAACGAGGCCCCTGGGAACGAGGCCCCTGGGAACGAGGCCCCTGGGAACGAGGCCCCTGGGAACGAGGCCCCTGGGAACGAGGCCCCTGGGAACGAGGCCCCTGGGAACGAGGCCCGTGGGAACGAGGCCCCTGTGAACGAGGCCCCTTGGAACGAGGCTCGTGGGAACGAGGCTCGTGGGAACGAGGCCCGTTGGAACAAGGCCCCTGGGAACGAGGCCCGTGGGAACGATTCCTGTGGGAATGAGGCCCCTGGGAACGAGGCCCCTGGGAACGAGGCCCCTGGGAACGAGGCCCCTGGGAACGAGGCCCCTGGGAACGAGGCCCCTGGGAACGAGGCCCCTGGGAACGAGGCCCCTGGGAACGAGGCCCCTGGGAACGAGGCCCCTGGGAACGAGGCCCCTGGGAACGAGGCCCCTGGGAACGAGGCCCCTGGGAACGAGGCCCCTGGGAACGAGGCCCCTGGGAACGAGGCCCCTGGGAACGAGGCCCCTGGGAACGAGGCCCCTGGGAACGAGGCCCCTGGGAACGAGGCCCCTGGGAACGAGGCCCCTGGGAACGAGGCCCCTGGGAACGAGGCCCCTGGGAACGAGGCCCCTGGGAACGAGGCTCGTGGGAACGAGGCTTGTGGGAACGAGTCTCGTGGGAACGAGGCCCCTGGGAACGAGGCCCCTGGGAACGAGGCCCCTGGGAACGAGGCCCCTGGGAACGAGGCCCCTGGGAACGAGGCCCCTGGGAACGAGGCCCCTGGGAACGAGGCCCCTGGGAACGAGGCCCCTGGGAACGAGGCCCCTGGGAACGAGGCCCCTGGGAACGAGGCCCCTGGGAACGAGGCCCCTGGGAACGAGGCCCCTGGGAACGAGGCCCCTGGGAACGAGCCCCCCTCGGAACGAGGCCCCTGGGAACGAGGCCCCTGGGAACGAGGCCCCTGGGAACGAGGCCCCTGGGAACGAGGCCCCTGGGAACGAGGCCCCTGGGAACGAGGCCCCTGGGAACGAGGCCCCTGGGAACGAGGCCCGTGGGAACGAGGCCCGTGGGAACGAGGCCCGTGGGAACGAGGCCGGTGGGAACGAGGCCCCTGGGAACGAGGCCCCTGGGAACGAGGCCCCTGGGAACGAGGCCCCTGGGAACGAGGCCCCTGGGAACGAGGCCCCTGGGAACGAGGCCCCTCTGAACCAGGCCCCTGGGAACGAGGCCCCTGGGAACGAGGCCCCTGGGAACGAGGCCCCTGGGAACGAGGCCCCTGGGAACGAGGCCCCTGGGAACGAGGCCCCTGGGAACGAGGCCCCTGGGAACGAGGCCCCTGGGAACGAGGCCCCTGGGAACGAGGCCCCTGGGAACGAGGCCCCTGGGAACGAGGCCCCTGGGAACGAGGCCCCTGGGAACGAGGCCCCTGGGAACGAGGCCCCTGGGAACGAGGCCCCTGGGAACGAGGCCCCTGGGAACGAGGCCCCTGGGAACGAGGCCCCTGGGAACGAGGCCCCTGGGAACGAGGCCCCTGGGAACGAGGCCCCTGGGAACGAGGCCCCTGGGAACGAGGCCCCTGGGAACGAGGCCCCTGGGAACGAGGCCCCTGGGAACGAGGCCCCTGGGAACGAGGCCCCTGGGAACGAGGCCCCTGGGAACGAGCCCCGTGGGAACGAGGCCCCTGGGAACGAGGCCCCTGGGAACGAGGCCCCTGGGAACGAGGCCCGTGGGAACGAGGCTCGTGGGAACGAGGCTTGTGGGAACGAGGCCCGTGGGAACGAGGCCCGTGGGAACGAGGCCCGTGGGAACGAGGCCCGTGGGAACGAGGCCCATGGGAACGAGGCCCGTGGGAACGAGGCCCGTGGGAACGAGGCCCGTGGTAACGAGGCCCCTAGGAAGGAGGCCCCTGGGAACGAGGCCCCTGGGAACGAGGCCCCTGGGAACGAGGCCCCTGGGAACGAGGCCCCTGGGAACGAGGCCCCTGGGAACGAGGCCCCTGGGAACGAGGCCCCTGGGAACGAGGCCCCTGGGAACGAGGCCCCTGGGAACGAGGCCCCTGGGAACGAGGCCCCTGGGAACGAGGCCCCTGGGAACGAGGCCCCTGGGAACGAGGCCCCTGGGAACGAGGCCCCTGGGAACGAGGCCCCTGGGAACGAGGCCCCTGGGAACGAGGCCCCTGGGAACGAGGCCCCTGGGAACGAGGCCCCTGGGAACGAGGCCCCTGGGAACGAGGCCCCTGGGAACGAGGCCCCTGGGAACGAGGCCCGTGGGAACGAGGCCCGTGGGAACGAGGCCCGTGGGAACGAGGCCCCCGAGAACGAGGCCCCTGGGAACGAGGCCCCTGGGAATGAGGCCCCTGGGAACGAGGCCTGTGGGAACGAGACCCGTGGGAACGAGGCCCCTGGGAACGAGGCCCCTGGGAACGAGGCCCCTGGGAACGAGGCCCCTGGGAACGAGGCCCCTGGGAACGAGGCCCCTGGGAACGAGGCCCCTGGGAACGAGGCCCCTGGGAACGAGGCCCCTGGGAACGAGGCCCCTGGGAACGAGGCCCCTGGGAACGAGGCCCCTGGGAACGAGGCCCCTGGGAACGAGGCCCCTGGGAACGAGGCCCCTGGGAACGAGGCCCCTGGGAACGAGGCCCCTGGGAACGAGGCCCCTGGGAACGAGGCCCCTGGGAACGAGGCCCCTGGGAACGAGGCCCCTGGGAACGAGGCCCCTGGGAACGAGGCCCCTGGGAACGAGGCCCCTGGGAACGAGGCCCCTGGGAACGAGGCCCCTGGGAACGAGGCCCCTGGGAACGAGGCCCCTGGGAACGAGGCCCCTGGGAACGAGGCCCCTGGGAACGAGGCCCCTGGGAACGAGGCCCCTGGGAACGAGGCCCCTGGGAACGAGGCCCCTGGGAACGAGGCCCCTGGGAACGAGGCCCCTGGGAACGAGGCCCCTGGGAACGAGGCCCCTGGGAACGAGGCCCCTGGGAACGAGGCCCCTGGGAACGAGGCCCCTGGGAACGAGGCCCCTGGGAACGAGGCCCCTGGGAACGAGGCCCCTGGGAACGAGGCCCGTGGGAACGAGGCCCGTGGGAACGAGGCTCGTGGGAACGAGGCCCGTGGGAACGAGGCCCGTGGGAACGAGGCCCGTGGGAACGAGGCCCGTGGGAACGAGGCCCGTGGGAACGAGGCCCGTGGGAACGAGGCCCGTGGGAACGAGGCCTGTGGGAACGAGGCCCGTGGGAACGAGGCCCGTGGGAAGGAGGCCCCTAGGAAGGAGGCCCCTGGGAACGAGGCCCCTGGGAACGAGGCCCCTGGGAACGAGGCCCCTGGGAACGAGGCCCCTGGGAACGAGGCCCCTGGGAACGAGGCCCCTGGGAACGAGGCCCCTGGGAACGAGGCCCCTGGGAACGAGGGTCGATGACCAATGATGCTCGCAAACCTTCCCCGCCCTTGCTGGCTTGGTTAGAGGCCTAAACAAGCGCAGCCACGTGACCTGGTAGAAGAAAAACGCTCACTGCGAACGCTTCTAGCCTCAAAACGCGCTAGGATCCGCATATGTGGAGGAAGTGCAGCGGGCGCTCTTCATTCTCAAGGGCCGATGGCCAATGATGCTAGCAACCCTTCCACGCCCTTGCTAGCTTGGCAAGAGGCCTAGACAAGCGCAGCCACATGACCTGGTAGAAGAAAAACGCTCACTGCGAACGCTTCTAGCCTCAAAACGCGCTAGGATCCGCACATGTGCAGGAAGTGCAGCGGGCGCTCTTCATTCTCAAGGGCCGATGACCAATGATGCTCGCAACCCTTCCACGCCCTTTCTGGCTTGGCAAGAGGCCTAGACAAGCGCAGCCACGTGACCTGGTAGAAGAAAAACACTCACTGCGAGTGCATCTAGCCTCAAAACGCGCTAGGATCCACACATGTGCAGGAAGTGCAGCGGGCGCTCTTCATTCTCAAGGGCCGATGACCAATGATGCTCGCAACCCTTCCACGCCCTTGCTGGCTTGGCAAGAGGCCTAGACAAGCGCAGCCACGTGACCTGGTAGAAGAAAAACGCTCACTGCGAGCGCTTCTAGCCTCAAAACACGCTAGGATCCACACATGTGGAGGAAGTGCAGCGGGCGCTCTTCATTCTCAAGGGCCGATGACCAATGATGCTAGCAACCCTTCCACGCCCTTGCTGGCTTGGCAAGAGGCCTAGACAAGCGCAGCCACGTGACCTGGTAGAAGAAAAACGCTCACTGCGAGCGCTTCTAGCCTCAAAACGCGCTAGGATCCGCACATGTGGAGGAAGTGCAGCGGGCGCTCTTCATTCTCAAGGGCCGATGACCAATGATGCCCGCAACCCTTCCACGCCCTTGCTGGCTTGGCAAAAATGCAGCCACGTGACCTGGTAGAAGAAAAACGCTCACTTCGAGCGCTTCTAGCCTCAAAACGCGCTAGAATCCGCACATGTGCAGGAAGTGCAGCGGGCGCACTTCATTCTCAAGGGCCGATGACCAATGATGCTCGCAACCCTTCCACGCCCTTGCTGGCTTGGCAAGAGGCCTAGACAAGTGCATCCACGTGACCTAGTAGAATAAAAACGCTCACTGCGAGCGCTTCTAGCCTCAAAACGCTCTAGGATCCGCACAAGTGGAGGAAGTGCAGCGGGCGCTCTTCATTCTCAAGGGCCGATGACCAATGATGCTAGCAACCCTTCCACGCCCTTGCTGGTTTGGCAAGAGGCCTAGACAAGCGCAGCCACATGACCTGGTAGAAGAAAAACGCTCACTGCGAGCGCTTCTAGCCTCAAAACGCGCTAGGATCCACACATGTGGAGGAAGTGCAGCGGGCGCTCTTCATTCTCAAGGGCCGATGACCAATGATGCTCGCAACCCTTCCACGCCCTTGCTGGCTTGCCAAGAGGCCTAGACAAGCGCAGCCACATGACCTAGTAGAAGAAAAACGCTCACTGCGAGCGCTTCCAGCCTCAAAACGCGTTAGAATCCACACATGTGGAGGAAGTGCACCGGGCTCTCTTCATTCTCAGCGCCGAACTTTTCTTCGCACAAGAACCAAGCCAAAAAGGCTCTAGTATGTGTATTTGAACCTGGGCCACTAGAATATGCAATAAAAATCAGGTTGTTGAATGCTTTTCCCTACACCTATAGGGATTCACGCGCTTTCTAGGCACTTTGCGGCAAAAACGGCCGAAATCGTAGGCGCCGAACTTTTCTTCGCACAAGAACCAAGCCAAAAAGGCTCTAGTATGTGTATCTGAACCTGGACCACTAGAAAACGCAATAAAAAACAGGTTGTTGAATGCTTTTCCCTACACCTATAGGGATTCACGCGCTTTCTATGCACTTGGCGGCAAAAACGGCCGAAATCGTAGGCGCCGAACTTTTCTTCGCACAAGAACCAAGCCAAAAAGGCTCTAGTATGTGTATTTGAACCTGGCCCACTAGAATATGCAATAAAAATCAGGTTGTTGAATGCTTTTCCCTACGTCTATAGGGATTCACGCGCTTTCTATGCACTTGGCGGCAAAAACGGCCGAAATCGTAGGCGCCGAACTTTTCTTCGCACAAAAACCAAGCCGAAAAGGCTCTAGTATGTGTATTTGAACCTGGGCCACTAGAATATGCAATAAAAAGGAGGTTGTTGAATGCTTTTCCCTACACCTATAGGGATTCACGCGCTTTCTAGGCACTTGGCGGCAAAAACGGCCGAAATCGTAGGCGCCGAACTTTTCTTCGCACAAGAACCAAGCCGAAAAGGCTCTAGTATGTGTATTTGAACCTGGGCCACTAGAATATGCAATAAAAATCAGGTTGTTGAATGCTTTTCCCTACACCTATAAAGATTCACGCGCTTTCTAGGCACTTGGCGGCAAAAACGGCCGAAATCGTAGGCGCCGAACTTTTCTTCGCACAAAAACCAAGCCGAAAAGGCTCTAGTATGTGTATTTGAACCTGGGCCACTAGAATGTGCAATAAAAATCAGGTTGGTGAATGCTTTTCCCTACGCCTATAGGGATTCACGCGCTTTTTAGGCACTTGGCGGCAAAAACGGCCGAAATCGTAGGCGCCGAACTTTTCTTCGCACATGAATCAAGCCGAAAAGGCTCTAGTATGTGTATTTGAGCCTGGCCCACTATAATGTGCAATAAAAATCAGGTTGTTGAATGCTTTTCCCTACACCTATAGGGATTCACGCGCTTTCTAGGCACTTGGCGGCAAAAACGGCCGAAATCGTGGGCGCCGAACTTTTCTTCGCACAAGAACCGAGCCAAAAAAGGCTCTAGTATGTGTATTTGAACCTGGCCCACTAGAATATGCAATAAAAATCAGGTTGTTGAATGCTTTTCCCTGCACCTATAGGGATTCACGCGCTGACTAGACACTTGGCGGCAAAAACGGCCGAAATCGTAGGCGCCGAACTTTTCTTCGCACAAGAACCAAGCCCAAAAGGCTCTAGTATGTGTATTTGAACCTGGGCCACTAGAATATGCAATAAAAATCAGGTTGTTGAATGCTTTTCCCTACACCTATAGAGATTCACGCGCTGACTAGACACTTGGCGGCAAAAACGGCCGAAATCGTAGGCGCCAAACTTTTCTTCGCACAAGAACCAAGCCAAAAAGGCTCTAGTATGTGTATTTGAACCTGGCCCACTAGAATATGCAATAAAATTCAGGTTGTTGAATGCTTTTCCTTACACCTATAGAGATTCGCGCGCTTTCTAGGCACTTGGCGGCAAAAACGGCCGAAATCGTAGGCGCCGAACTTTTCTTCGCACAAGAACCAAGCCAAAAAAGCTCTAGTATGTGCATTTAAACCTTGCCCACTAGAATATGCAATAAAAATCAGGTTGTTGAATGCTTTTCCCTACACCTATAGGGATTCACGCGCTTTCTAGGCACTTGGCGGCAAAAACGGTCGAAATCGTAGGCGTCGAACTTTTCTTCGCACAAGAACCAAGCCAAAAAGGCTCTAGTATGTGTATTTGAACCTGGCCCACTAGAATATGCAATAAAAATCAGGTTGTTGAATGCTTTTCCCTACACCTATAGGGATTCACGCGCTTTCTAGGCACTTGGCGGCAAAAACGGCCGAAATCGTAGGCGCCGAACTTTTCATCGCACAAGAATCAAGCCGAAAAGGCTCTAGTATGTGTATTTGGACCTGGCCCACTAGAAAATGCAATAAAAGTCAGGTTGTTGAATGCTTTTCCCTCCACCTATAAGGATTCACGCGCTTTCTAGGCACTTGGCGGCAAAAACGACCGAAATCGTAGGCGCCGAACTTTTCTTCGCACAAGAATCAAACCAAAAAGGCTCTAGTATGTGTATTTATACCTGGCCCACTAGAATATGCAATAAAAATCAGGTTGTTGAATGCTTTTCCCTACACCTATAGGGATTCACGCGCTTTCTAGGCACTTTGCGGCAAAAACGGCCGAAATCGTAGGCCCCGAACTTTTCTTCGCACAAGATCCAAGCCTATAAGGAATAAGTATGTGTATTTGAACCTGGATCACTAGAATATGCAATAAAAATCAGGTTGTTGAATGCTTTTCCCTACACCTATAGGGATTCACGCGCTTTCTAGGCACTTGGCGGCAAAAACGGTCGAAATCGTAGGCGCCGAACTTTTCTTCGCACAAGAACCAAGCCAAAAAGGCTCTAGTATGTGTATTTGAACCTGGGCCACTAGAATATGCAATAAAAATCAGGTTGTTGAATGCTTTTCCCTACACCTATAAGGGTTCACGCGCTTACCAGGCACTTGGCGGCAAAAACGACCGAAATCGTAGGCGCCGAACTTTTCTTCGCACAAGAACCAAGCCAAAAAGGCTCTAGTATGTGTATTTGAACCTGGCCCACTAGAATATGCAATAAAAATCAGGTTGTTGAATGCTTTTCCCTACACCTATAGGGATTCACGCGCTTCCTAGGCACTTTGCGGCAAAAACGGCCGAAATCGTAGGCGCCGAACTTTTCTTCGCACAAGATCCAAGCCTATAAGGAATAAGTATGTGTATTTGAACCTGGATCACTAGAATATGCAATAAAAATCAGGTTGTTGAATGCTTTTCCCTACACCTATAGGGATTCACGCGCTTTCTAGGCACTTGGCGGCAAAAACGGCCGAAATCGTAGGCGTCGAACTTTTCTTCGCACAAGAACCAAGCCGAAAAGGCTCTAGTATGTGTATTTGAACCTGGGCCACTAGAATATGCAATAAAAATCAGGTTGTTGAATGCTTTTCCCTACACCTATAAGGGTTCACGCGCTTACCAGGCACTTGGCGGCAAAAACGACCGAAATCGTAGGCGCCGAACTTTTCTTCGCACAAGAACCAAGCCAAAAAGGCTCTAGTATGTGTATTTGAACCTGGCCCACTAGAATATGCAATAAAAATCAGGTTGTTGAATGCT